CATCCAGTTTTGGTCACCACGATGTAGAAAAGATGTGGAGACTCTGGAAAGAGTGCAGAGAAGAGCAACGAAGATGATTAGAGGACTGGAGGCTAAAACATAAAGAACGATTGCTGGAATTGGGTATGTCTAGTTTAATGAAAAGGAAGACTAGGGGAGATATGATAGCAGTGTTCCAATATTTGAGGGGCTGGCACAGAGAAGAGGGAGTCAAGCTATTCTCCAATGCATCTGAGTGCAGGACAAGAAGTAATGGATGGAAACTAATCAAGGAGAGAAGCAGTTTAGAACTAAGGAGAAATTTCCTGACAGAACGATTAATCAGTGGAACAACTTGCCTCTAGAAGTTGTGAATGCTCCAACACTGGAAACAGACAGTCACTTGTCTGAAATGATATAGGGAAGTGGTGGGATGCAACCGGTACACCCCCGTACGGATGTACTGGTGCCTGCTGGGAGCACCAGGTATAGTTCCAGTACAGTGCTCTGGAGGGCCTACCCGCCCGCCCACCCTCTTACCAGTATTTGAGCCAATCGGCGCTTCTGCGCATGGAGCATACGGTGCCTGCACGACACTCTGCTGAGCAGCTGGAGTGTCACATGCAGTAAGTATGCATGCGCGCACTGTGCGGATTCATGTTGATGCCCAGCCTCGTTGCACCAGGATCCGGAACCCACCACTGGTATAGGGTCTCCTGCTTGAGCAGGGGGTTGGACTAGAAGTCCTCCAACTTCCAGCTCTGTTATTCTATTCTCTTTATCTTGTAGACTTTCCGGTCAATCGTGGCTCTCCAAACATCGTTTTGCGGTGATGATGACTCTCTACTTGCTGCTGCTGGTTATCATAGGGACTAGCAACTCGCCAGCTTTCCTCTACTACTGGAACCGAATTTTTGACTTCAAGCAATGATACTTGGTGCATCTTGGGCTACAGGGTGGAATCCGGGGTGGATGGGTGGGGGGAAGAAGACTAATGATCTTCACCAGGTGCCTTAACAGGGAGAAATGTTCAGTTTTTGTGAATCCCATCAGCCTGAAAAGCAGGACAACGTGATGGGGGTTGTGACAGGAATATTTCAGTGGCCTTAATTTTTCTGATTCCTTAGCGTTTGGGATAGATAGTTTCCAAAAAAGACTCAGCTGAGGAGAGCTGCCCCTTCCTTGGTCTGCTAAGGGGCTCACAACAAGGTCTCAGAAATGCCTTCAGAGCTGAAGAATGAAAAAACAGGGAGCATTAACCTTTAAAGAAAACACTTCATCACAATTCTGACGTGCTGGTATACTTAGGCTTGTTCTGAATTCTGAGGAGATTTTGCAGGGCGAAGGATGGCAGAACAGGGAGTGTTAGCCTTTAGAGAAAACATTTCATCACAATTCTGACATGCTGGTATACTTAGGCTTGTTCTGAATTCTGAGGAGATTTTGCAGGGCGAAGGATGGCAGAACAGGGAGTGTTAGCCTTTAGAGAAAACATTTCATCACAATTCTGACATGCTGTTAACAAGTTAGGCTTGTTCTTAACCCTGAGGGGATTTTGTAGGGTCTCCTTTGAAAACCACACTGTGTTTTAATACCAGTGGTGAAAGGCAGAGAGGGGGACAAACTTGCTCTCATTTAAAGTGTACCTTTGTGATGAAATGATCAGGTTGGAAATATTCATGCCATTTGAGAGCAATAATGACAATCAAGCTATCTGGATTCCCACAACATACTTCAATCTGGCTAAGGAAGCAGAACTTTTTTGAGGTTTGCATATTAACTCAGCCCAAAGGCTGGATCTATCCAAATTGCTAGGCTTTGAAAATCTTAACACTGATGAATACTAACCACCCTGAGCATCTTGTGCTCGGCGTTTACCTGAGCTGCTTGAGTGTTGTGCAAACACACCACTGGCTGCTTAACTCCTGGTGAGGTTTGCAGAGGAACTCACACTTAGAAGATACTCCCAGGCTCAGCAACATTGAGTTGGGCAACTGTGAAGTCTCACCTTGCGCTCTTCGCACAACAACAGATTGCACCACCAATGGCTGATGCCTGATGTTGTGACCAGACTCTGTGGAGATCCCCTGCACAAAATAAAAATTGCCAAGCACTTTATCATCTGTAGGAAGGAAACAGTTGTTCTTTTGCCCGAGACACAAAATGGAAGTGGCCGTGAACTGTCCGATGCTGTTCCTCTTGCTTTCTCTTCCTCCTCTGCGTTGGTTCTTCTCTGGTTTGTGTTTCTTAACATCTAGGTTAAAAAAAGCTATGTAAATCTCCAGGGATATTGGAAGCCTGGTTTGCTCTTTGTGTGATGTCAGCTGTTTAGGGTAGACCAGATCAGGAAACACCGCCAGAAGACTAGAAGTTGGCTTTATGGAGATAGGCTGTCTTGGCAGCCTATCTCCATAAAATAGCAGTAACAGGATCTTAAAACTTGGGTCGTGTTTTACTTCCCCTCACCTTCAAACCCCCATTGATCCAGGGAAGGCCCAGGCTGGGTCTCTCTTTCAAACCACCTCCCTTCCCAGGACTTAAGGAATGTTTCAGCTCTCTTTACCCCACATAACTGTTTCGGAATATTTGCTACATGGTTCTATTCAATTGACTTCTAGACCATGTCTTATTTGCTGGTTGCCTTCACCACTAGCTCAAAATGTCTGGAATATTTCCAGGGGTGTTTATTATTGGGGGATCCTAAAGTCAAGATAGCAACTTCAACGCCATGGCTGGATTGAAGGACTTTTGATGGCATTGGAGCTGGTGCCATCTTCACCCTCCCTGTAGACACCCCTGCCTAAGCCCCTGCTACGTTTACCAAGCACACTCCCCCAAGTCACTGAGGAACTACTGGCAGATTGATTTGCATAACCTTGGTTAGACTTTGGAGCTATAACATTTAATGCAAACCCTGAAAATAGGTTAATTCAGTAATTGAGAGAAATGTATTAACCACAGTTACACAGTCAAGTACCTTGATTGGGGTTTTGCGTTGGTTTGGAGAGGAGAAATGAGTTATGCAAATACCATCTGCTTAGTTTACCATTCCTGCAGAATAGTGCGCCATGCTAGAAAATGGATTCATTGGGTAAATGGATAGGTATACTCGAATGCAGGTTTCAATCACATGGTTGCAGTTGCCATTTTGACTTTTTTCCATCCTCCAACATCCCTGGATCCCTCCAACATCTGTGCAAGTTGGGGGCCATGAGGTTGGGGTTCACTCCTTCCAGTTTTCCATTGATCAAGTCAAGTTAGCAACTTTCACGCGCTACCAAAAGTGTTCTGAAAACCTCAAAATCAATTTGTACAATGAGTAACAGGAGAGAAAGGTAGTTTAGGTCTAATGTTTTACATACTGTAGGAAACCCAACTCTTGTCTTAGCATAATGTCTGAATCAAGCCAGCATGAAAATCTGTGTGGCCAGACCAGTGCAGTCAACTGTAGACTTCATTAAAAAAAAAAAGATTTTCCTAAATTGCTCATTTTTCACCAGTTTCCCTTTGTTTATCTGAACCAGGGAGATAAAAAGAACAACAGAAAAAGAAAAAGCAGACCAGGAGCAAAACAATAAGACGTAAGGGCTTCTTAAATCTGTATATATGTAAATAAAATTTTACATAAAGTTTCAATAAAGGATGACTACAATCGACGTCTCTTAAGTAACTTTCATGATAAAATTCTTTATGAAAGTGACCAGGGGTGTAACATCATTAAAAAAATGTTCACCTCTAAAAGCTGCAAGGAGCATGATGGGGATGAAACAGCCCTGTTAAGGGGCAAGAATTTTTTTTGTTCTCTTTTTCATTCACAGGGATGTAAAAAGGTGAAACATTTAGACTACTGCATAAAGTGCTTGTTCTGGTTATTGAATTAATCCATTTGCTGGGTTGTGCAAGATGTTGAACTTCTTTAATTTAGAACAAATAAAATTAACAAAAATGAAAACAATATAAACAATCTGGAAAAAAAGAAACAAAAATCATATGAGATATTGCAATGGGGAATATTAAGGTACAGCTACCTCAGCCCTTCAACAGTAGAATTGAATGTAGACTATAAATAAGCAACGCTCCTTCTAAAAGTAGTCTAAATAAGCCCCCACAAAGTAAGAAAGCTCCTTGAAGTTTTTGGGATGTCCTTTCCCAGTTGAAATGTCCTTTCCCAGTAATGATGATGAAACAATGCAAAATTCCTGTCAACTGTCCGACTAGCGAACCCAAAACAAGTAAACACACTCGGGAACTTTGAATTCCCAAAAGTAAAACTTTATTGGATACACCATTTTGGTACTGAAGAATCAAAACCAGCTCTGGTTTTCCCACACAAATGCTTGTCGAGTTAAACAATAGCTTCCCTTTCTCCTCACCCCTCACATTGTCCAAATATAAGATGTCCTTTCGTTGTGGGAACAGTCCATCTCTTTCTCCAACACCTGCAGTGGTGACCTTGATGATTTCCAGGCATTCACGATCTGTGCACAAATTCTCAGCACTCAATTCAACCCTTCACCCCCACCCTCAGTTCATTGGCAAGTTGAATAGCAATAAGGTTTGAAAGAAGCCCAAACGGTTCAGTCTTGACAGTTCCTTGTTGAATTTTGGAATATCTCCTGGGTGATGTTCTTGGTTGTAAAGATGTTCTCTCTATGGTACAGGTCTGAGAGTCTGTAACCTCCCTTGGCCTTCCATTTTTTTTCCAATTAACTCTAAACAAAGCCGAACAAGGGAATTTTCTTGCAGAGTTCCCTGGAATCCACCTGTAGAATTTATTCCCCGGTCTGTTTATTCTACCAATTTGGTGGAGAACAAGACTTGAAACAAGCTGAATCAAATAAATCCACAACAGATTAGCAATTATGACCAAAGGAAATTGTGACAAATAGTTTTGAGGAGGTGGTTTTTTTCCCTATATTTTGGGTTCCTGATCATAGACATCCCAGAACATCTTTATGCTTACCTGAGAAATGAGATCCTGATTGTTTTGATCCAGCAAAATCATATTTTCTTAACATTAATTACAGAAATTATACCTAGACCCAGGTAGGGTGTAACCAATCATGGCTCAGCCTAGGAAGATGAAATTGACTATTTGAATCGTAATTCTAGTCGAAATGAATTGATGTTTCAAATCAAAATTACAAGAGGGTTTCACTTCATTGGATTTGTTGAAACAGAGATCAGGGAAGCCCCCTTTAATCTGGATTCCTGCACGGGGATTGGTGGGGTGTAGTAGTGATGGTGGAGTTGATGGTCTCATAGGGCTTCCAGTTCTACAAATCTGTGATTACAAAAGCCAATCGGGCATTAAACAATGGATTAATCAGTTAATTAATGAGTGGAACAGCTTACTTCAAGAAGTTGTGGGTAGAGGGTTTTAAGAAAAGACTGGACACCCATTTGAGCAGGGGGTTGGACTAGAAGACCTCCAAGGTTCTTTCCAACTTTGTTATTCAGTAAAAATTGTTTTGATGCCTGGGTAGGAATTTTATATATAGATATATCTACTGTATTTCTATGAGAACAGTTCTTTGATAGTTATTTGTTTGTCTCCTTGGACTAGCTGGCCCACAAAGTCATAATGGTTAAAGTTTTTGAGAGGAGTGAACCAAAACATGAATCCATATATGGCTGAAGGCATTGTGGAGGAAAATTATGAAGCATTCTCCTGGGGAATTCAAAGGGTCTTCTCCTGGTGATGTGTTTTACATGCTTTAAAACAACTTTCCAAAAACAAGTAAGCCTAGGAGAATATTTGTTGACAGCATATATATTTTTTTTCAAGACAGATGACTTCGTTGTAGAAGGTGATTGAGCAAATAGAACATCTGCATTCAATGAAGAATCTCAGGGGATCTGCAAGGAGTTTTGGAACAGCCGAATCTAATAGAGAGAGAGAAAGAAAAGAAAGAGAGAGAGAGAGAGAGAGAGACGCTAGATCATGGTTTAAGAAGCTGGAAAGAGAAGAATGTTGTATGTATTCATCATCATTGTTCCTAGCATTTGTGTCTGGCTCGATTTAAGGAGTGGGAAGTGAAAATAATATCCTGGAAGAAGGCAGTAGCCACATTGCTGCCAAGATTACTTGGTGGACAGTCCAGAAATATCACTCAGGATAAAAATTAGCTCGAAGGAAACTTTAGCTTTTCATAGATTTTAGCTTTTATGGCTGCTAAAATGGAACCCAAATGAGCATAAAGAAAAATTCTTAAGACCAGTAAAAGTAGGAGCCATTTCTTAATGCCTGAAGTGGTGTAAGGTTTCCTGCCTAAGCAGGGGGCTGGACTAGAAGACCTCCAACATCCCTTCCAACTCATTTATTCTATTCTTAAAGGCAGCCCATGAACAATGATAGTTTAGATACATTTTTGTGAAGCTGCTTCTCTTCAGCTCCCTTGCAGAACAAAACCTAGAGATTCTGTAACTCCAAAGCATTGTTTAGAACTTGGTTTGATCCAGGAAAAAGATAATTGTTTATTGAACTAAGCATAATAACAATACAATACAGGTAGTCCTCAACTTATAGCAGTTCGTTTAGTGACGAAAGTTACAACGTCACTGAAAAAGGTGACAGCATTTTGCATGCTTACGACCTTTGAAGCCTCCTGTGCCCACGTGATTTACATTCAGATGCTTGACCACTGACTCATATTTATGATGGCTGCAATGTCCCGGAGTAACAGGTTCCCCATTTGCCACCTTCTGACAAGCAAATTCAACAGGAGTGCCAGACTCACTTAACAACCATGTTACTAACTTAACTGCAGGGATTCACTTAACAAATGTGGCAATGCTCATTTAACAAAATTTCTCAACGACATCAGTTTTGGGCTCAATTGTGGTCGTAAGGTGAAGACTACCTGTAGACTTTCCTCAGTAGCTGAGAAGTATAGATATGAGGATTAGTCCAGTTGATTGTCATGATGAAATTCGATAGATTTCTTCTAATATATTGGTCAAGAGGTCTGCAGATATAGTTTGATTACAATGCTGAAATCCTTCTAAAATTATAATGTCCATGGTTTAATAGCAAAAAAGAAAAGAAAACATGATTCCTAGGAGCACTGACATCTACAAGGTGAATATCAGGCAATGCTTCCCACAAAGGCAGGATTATCCCTGCTGACATTTTGCTTTTGCTATTGCTCTCACCTTAATGTTACATTTTACTTCAATGCGCTGACCCTAATGAATGTGTTCAACTGGATGTCTCCCAGTTTAGATCAGGATTTATATTTAATAAGCCAGGTGGACTTCTTGTACAGGGTAGAAGTGATCATCAACATCCAAAATTACCGTATTTTCACGCATATAACCCACGGGCAATGTGCGTTTTTTACCTACCCCGCATGCCCCCCTCGGGGTATAAAAGTGGGCGGGGTATACGGACAATATTTTACGCGATCTTGAAAACCTGCGGGTTATTTGCGTGGGCGGGTTATTTGCGTGGGCGGGTTATT